ATTGAGGCTATTTTTGGCCCTCCATTTAAATAAAATAGGACCAGGGCCCTTGACTGAGGGTGGAGCCTTCTCTTGCTGAACAGGTTTTGACTTCTTCCTTGTAACTTTTATCCAAGAATCTGCAGGTACATTGATACTTTCGAAACTGCCCTTATTGCCCTCGCCGGAGGGAGCTTTTCCGGTGAAAAAGGCACAGGAGGTTCCAGATTTGTGACCAAATTTCAGACAGGTAGAACAATAGGGAGGGAATTTTTCATATGAGCATTTAAGGAAAAGGTCATTAGCCCCCAGTCTAATGTGCACCATAGGTGGGGGAGGGAGAGAAGTATCCATTTCAACACAAAATCTTGCATTCTCTCTTCTATCTCTATTAACAGTATAATCATCCAACATAATTGGTTTCCCAAGAAGACTGGCAATAGAGAAAAGGGCTTGATAATCTATAAGATGAAGGGGCAACCCATGCAAAGTAACCCAAACAGGAAAAATAGGGCAGTGTGTAGAACATTTGTAGTTTCTTGTCCATTTAAAAACATAGAAATGGTATTTATCAACATACCAGTATCTCCTTTGAATAAGTCTTATATAGTCCTTTTCTTCTTTGAAGGTAAAGAGAATATCTCTTTCTGAGATTCTCCTAATCCTGAAGTACAGGAAGCCCACTTTAAGCAAGAAATCTTTTAGCATTGAGAGGGGAATGTATCCTTTGAATCTCCCAACTGCAGAAAAGTGCATTTTGGCCTCCAGTGTTTCTTCATCAGCGCTGGAGAAGCTCACAGATGGTGCTCCTTTGTAGAATCCTTCAACTTTCCCAACCTTTGAAGAGTTTGATGCTGCAAAAAGATCTGAAAAGTATTTTGTGAAGTGTGGACGTTTAGAAACAGATGGTTTTTGTAATGTGGATTGAAAATTTTCCGTGGCCTGAGACTTTTCCGGCCAGGACGCCGGAATTCTCTGCCTTCTCTCTAAAACATGCATAATAAGTAAACGTGATATTATATATATATATATATATATATATATATATATATATATATATATATATATGGAGTATCAATTATTTGAGTTGAACACAGCTTAGTTGCCAATTTAAATTTTCCAATTTAAAAATTATATTTGAACTTTGAATTATTTACATTGATCATTCTATATCAATGTCTAATTTTTTTCCTCGCATGCATCTCATTTTATTTTAAAATATGTACTCACATTTTTTTATATTCACCCATTTCATATCAAACTTATTTCAAAGTTTTGATTTTTTAAAAAAAGTTTTAAATATGAATATATTTTTACTCAACTTTGTTAATATTCGTCCATTCAATTGTTTAAAATATTCAATATGTATAAACTATTTTTTCATAAAAAAATATAGAAAAATGAAATTAAAGAGTCATGGTTAGACATCATTTTATTCCTATTTATGTAAATATAAAATTTATAAAAAATAATCAGTGAGCTATATGCATACCTAGATAAATCAACAATTATACTTTTTAATTACTCATGATTTCTATGAAACCTATGAACGATGTTTAATTTTCTTACGGATGCAGATTATAATTGATAAAATAACATGACTATAATTAAAAAAAGGACACATATTTTTATCTTTTCTTGTTGTGTTCATTTTCACATGGAGAATTTGTTAAATCCTTCTAAAATTGACATCTAATTTTAAATTTTGTATAAAACTTTATTTATTTAACATAAATTAATTTATCTATACTAACGATTTAGATATGAAGATAAGAAAATTTTTCAATGCACATTAAAAAGCAACCATAAAAATTGTAAATACAAAAACTCTGGTCACTAAAATATCCCGTTTAATTTTGTTATTTTAAATAATTCAAAAATGTTATGCATCAAATTACCTTAAAACAATAAAACAAAATTAAATATATTAAGATAAAACAATATTTAAAGTAGGCACCTTTTCTCTCCTTTTTTGTTGAAGTATTCATTTTCTTCTTTCTCTTGCATCTCTAGCTGATCTCGTCCATGTATTGTCAACTTGATTTTTCATAGCCCCAATTGAAATTGAAAAATAGGATGCTCCTACCACCAATCATTTTAAAAACAAAAGGCTGAAGTTGAATTAACAATTCTCTGCTTATTTATTGCATAATTAATTCTAAATGCCTATGTATTAAAATGGAAAATGAAAATGGGTGGTTGATGTCAAATTTCAACTCATTATATATCACTTTTTATAATAGGATTTTGACCCAAGTATATAAGAGTTTTCGTAAATTTGGATATAAAAGTGAGCAATTTAACTCATTTCCAGTTAGATATATAAGTAAGGAATTCAAAATAATATTGGGTCCATCCTAGATATAACGAATTCCTTACTAAAAATAAACGAATCCAGAATAATATTACTCCGGTATTGATTATCCAATATACATAATTAACGATTGACATATATAAGTAAAGAGATCCAAAATAATATTAGTATTATCTAACATACATAATATAAGTAAGGTGATGAATAATATTCTCGTAATCATAATTTTCAAATTTAGTACTGTTTAGGATTGTTTCTTAATAATATTTTTCGTAAATTTTGTCAATCACCATATGCTAAGGAAATAATCTATTCTTGGAAATCATATCATACCATTCATGGCTATGCATGAATCATTTTCTAACGCACGGCCCTATTAGGATAGTTTCACATTTAATTATTTACTTACCTTTTGTATTTTAGGAAGGACTTTATGATGGTGACAATTCCTTGGTAAAGGATTAATATATGTAGCATGGTCCTAAAATTCTATTTCAATTAATTAAAAATATTATATATATATATTTTTCATTTTTTAAATAATATTTATATTTCTTCATATTTATTTTTAATATTTTATATTATCATCATAATTAGAGTTTGTATTGTTGTAATCTGAATACATATATTTACATATAATATTATTGATTATCCAAGATACATAATTAAGCATTGCCATATATAAGTAAAGAGATCAAAAATAATATTACTATTATCCTAGATATATGATATAAGTAAGGTGATGAATAATATACTCGTGATAATAATTTACAAATTTAGATTTATTTAGAATTGCTTCTTAATAAGATTTTCCGTAAATTTTGTTAATGACCATATATAAGTAAGGCGATCAATAATATATACTCATGGAAGTAAGACAAATAAGTAAGGAATCAAAAATAGCATTGGAATTTCTATTAGCATAGGTACTCTATTGATTTCAACCTATATATACACGAATTTCCATTAATAAATCTTTGTTACTTATTAATTATTTAAGTATGAAATTTATAAATATGTAAGTAAGATAGAGGATTAATATATTTAGCATGGTTCTAAAATTCTATATAAGTTAAATGAAAATTATTATATTTCTTTTTTATTTTTGAATAGTATTTATATTTTTTCTTATTTATTTTTGATTGTTTTTATTATCCTCGTAATAGGAGTTCATATTGTTGTAATCTGAAAACATATAATATTATTGATTATCCAAGACACACAATTAAGGATTTCCATATATAAGTAAACGGATCCAAAATAATATTAGTATTATTTAAAATACATAATATAAGTAAGGTGATGAGTAATGTACTCGGGATCATCATTTTCAAATTTAGTATTATTTAGGATTGTTTCTTAATAATCTCTTTGTAAAAAATAATATTCTAATTTCCATTAATATAGGTACTCTATTGATTTTAACTATTATTATACACAAATTTCCACAATAAACCTTTGTAACTTATTAATTTAAGTATGTAATATTTAAATATGGAAGTAAGATAAAGGATTAGTATATGTAGCACGGTCCTAAAATTATATTTAAATTAAATGAAAATATTATATTTATTTTTTAAATAGTATTTATATTTTTTCATATTTATTTTTAATTATTTTATATTATCATCATAATAGGAGTTCGTATTGTTGTAATCTGAAGAAAAGAATTTCGTTGAAGGCCAGTGATTATCGCGTAGAAAATCTGGGGTCAATTGTTTTCAACGGGAGATCCGCTGGTGCATCGTATATAATTTATTTCCGCGGGTTTACTCGGATATTACGTGGCGTGCTGACATGTTTAAATTTTTCCACATAGCCATGCCAAATGTCGAATTTCTGTGCATTCGAGTCTCATTTATTATATTAAATGATTACGTGTAAGACAACTGTGTAAAAATGATCCACATGTACATGCCAAATGTCAAGCTCTGGTGCATTGAGTCTCCTTTATTATAATAAAGGATTGTGTTAGAAATATATTTTCTTTAATAGGAAAAATATTACATTGAAATTTTTTTTGAACCGACAAAAGTTTCGTTCAAACCCGTGCATGGCACGAGTTAAAATACTAGTTAAAATAATCGGAATGATTGAGAAGTATGATGCCAAACGAATGCCGTCAGTCTATCTCAGCATCAGACTGGCTGACTCTATAGATGCTCACTAGTCATTTCCTCTTCTATTCTTCCTTCCTTTTCTTCTTTTATTTTCTTCTTCCATTTTATCATTCTAATTACAAAAAATTGTTGCCAGGTACCTCCTATTTTGGGATAAAGACTCGCAGGTCCCATTTTTTCTAAAACTTACTCTTGGGGATTTAAAATATGCACTACGTCAAAAACAGAGGCTGACAACTGTTTATTTTAGTAGTCTATAAATGATGTTTTTCGTAGTCTTCCGAGCAGCTGTCTGATGGGATGCTAGACCTCGGTCTAGAACAATTGTGCAAATCCAAATCGGACACCAGTGTTTTGTAGCTTAACACAACTTTGAATATTTGTTGTCTGCTCGTAATCGAGTCTACGATTTTGGATATACTCAGACAACAGTTTTATTGTGTTGTATATAGAATTTCAGACAACTACTTAAAAACAACTGTCTTAATTAATTGTATATGGACTATTACGACAATGGTTTATTGTAGTTGGGATTGATGCGGTTACACTATGTTTTCCAGGTGTAGTCTAATGTTCTATTAGACAGCTGCTCGGAAGACCACTATAAGTAATTCCATCAAACCTCTGCTACCTTCTGTTGTATGTACAACGTTGAGACTATTACTTTGGTCTTACCTTAAACAACTTTTTTGTTTGGTTGTATGCCTTCTATTAACACTCCAATTTTTGTTCCTTGTCCTTTAAACATTGACACTATACTTCCAAACAGTAGTTGAATCTGCTACCAGACAGCTGCTCGGAAGACCACTATAAGTATTTGCTTCAAACAACTATTACGTTGGGTTGTATGTATAATGTTCAGACTATTATTTTGGTCTTATCTTAAACAACTATTTGTTTTAGTTGTACGACATCTATAAACAATACTGTTTTGGATCGTTGTCGTACCACCCATTTAAACAATATTTTGGGAGAGTAGTCGAAATTGTTATCAGACAGCTGCTTGTAACACCACTGAAAACATTTGCATTAGAGAACTGTTCTTTTTTGTGGTATATCTAAAACTAAGAATACGATTATGTTTCATTTCACATAATTGAAAGTACCAGATGTCTAGCAGCTATTACCTCTACTAGTTTATATAGTTGTCCGTAAAATATTTGTAATATCAAATTAACAGTAGTAAGGCTGCTTGTCAGTCAAGCGTTTATTTGTGTTGCCTATCATAATCAGATGCTTCTGTTTTATGGCATTGTGTTGCAGATATTCAAACTATTGTCATTTGGTGTTGTGCCTCAACCATTCGGAGTACTGTATTTGGTGGATAACCATGTTTTTTGCATTCTAATACAGTGGTCGTTCAATAATTCATACAATAGAAAGACTGATCAAGAAAGACTGATCGGAAAAGAAATATAAATTCCCAATACATGATTCAACAATCTAACAAAATAAAACATACAACCAATTAAAGTCCAGGGGTAGAACCATTCAAATGGCATTATGACTCATAATATACTTCGAAGTGAAGTAAATTCCAAAAATATAGGATGCAACACATAAGAACTGATTTGTATGAAGTACATTATTCATGATGACCAACACTAAAGAACTGACCAATATATAATTAATACTCAAACCTTCACTTGCATTTAGTACACATTATTAGTGAACTAGAAGAGGCTCTACTTAATGTTAAAGTCTCTTCTGATTACAAACACTAGAACTGTACACAAGACATGGCTTGTCATGCCCTTTTAATGTATTCTATAGGGGGATAGTCTTTACCTTTCACCCACAAAAACAAATATGATGCAGCAACCATTCTTTATTTTAAGCAGTTTGAGTATTAAAAAATAGAAGAAGAGCATCATTTTGCATATATTATTACTTGTGCATATAAACAGCTGATATGCTGCATCATATTTAAATATAAAACAAAGGAAAAAATAGCTTTTATGAAATTCAAAACCCTCCAGCTTCACAAAATAAAAATACTCTGTACAGCTTCAACTTAAATCTGTGTAAAGAGCATGTAGCAGAACTTGCATTTATCCAGAAATTCAAAATAAAATACACACTCCTAAATGATACACGGATGCAAAGAAACACTTAATAGAGAACACTCATAAAAGCGACATGCAAATCAAACTTTACAATTCAGTAATGGTATGATAACATACAATACAGTAAATATCCCCAGAATAAGAGAAAGGCACAGTTAGTGTGAAGCATCCAAAACAAGGAAAACTACATTTAAGACAACAATATTACCTTTGAAGCAAATTGAACCTCCTTATCCTGACAGATCTCTTTCATGTATCGCATTACAAACAAGCCATAGTCTACATTCCCTTTTTGCATCGGGATGCCCTAAAAAACAAAAATATAAAGTACGTTATACAACACTTCTCATTCAACCTGCATTACATACCAAATAATAAGAATCATATAATACCGCCTTGTTCTCCGAGGACACTTTCTTCTTCAACATAGGTGTGTTCATGGTATTCTTGTACAAAACTATAGCACTATAAGGAAACCAAAAAAGATAAATAGAGAAATGTTATAAGCAAAAGTGATAGCAAATACCAAAGATTTTTGTTCATTGAGTCACTACTTACTTATCAACCACTTCAGTCCACTCCTGACTATCTATACGCCGTTTAAGGGGGTCCATGTAGTACACTACCTCTTCATTAGGTTTGACAACAGTCAAAGCCCAATGATTCCTACAAATAAAAACATATATGCATTACGACATTACAATGCAAATTGAAGACGAACTTCACAAGGAAGAAACAATTCAGAACATCAGTTCTTGACATGAACAACTTAAACATACTCACACGTCATTGAACGGTATTAGAAAGTGTTGTCCATCACAGGCCCCCTTAAAGCGATCAGCAAGCTTGCGTGACCTCTGCCATATGTTCCCACATGCAAGCGTCCCTACCATGTCGGTCAAAAGGCTTTTAACAATGAAAATAAAATGTTTGTGTGATGACATTCTTACTGGATGTATATTGTAATTATGCTTCCAGCCATCTCGCCATGAGCGCACAGAGCATGTATATGACTCAGAAAAACCGATAACTTCTTTTCCACCCCAAAGGCATCTTTATTAAGGACAAAAGTATGTGCTCTATCATCAGACAATGCTTCCTTAGCCAAAAACCATAGCCGTTTCAACTGCAGTGGATACTCAGGACCAAATTCTACTTGGAACTCTTGGCCACATTCTTCATCGTCTTGAACATGTGCCTTTTTCAATCTTTTAGGGGCCTTTTTCTTTTTGACATTTTTTAAATTGCTCTATAAAAAATGTGCACGTGGGTAAATATATTATCTAAAAGAATCAAGTAGACATAATAGTAGATATATAATAACCTTTCCTTTAGGAATAGCACATCCAAGACTATCAGCTCCTTAGGCGATGCTACAAAAGTTCCTTTGGCTTGTTCAACAGTAAGTACTTCACCGGGGAATTGGACTGGAATGTCAACATCTGGAAAATATCAAAGATTAAAAACATGTGTACTTCTAAAATGTGTGCATTTCATCCTTAGCTTATACATTCAAAATAGTAATAACTTGCTCATGCAAACCTTGTATTGCTTCTGTAATGGACACCTTTGCATATTCTTCACCCAGTTTTTCACCATGTAGGGTGAGGTCATCCATCCGGGAGAATCCATACACCTTTGCATGTGCAACAATATTGTCCACAGAACCAAAAGCAAGCTGTGCCATTTGGCTCTCCCCGGAATCAACATCAATGAAGACATCTTTTTCTGCTTTCTTCTCTACTTTAAGTCCTCCAACTTCCACAAGCTTCTCCACAGTATCAATTTCTTGAACTTCACTCTCATTCTTTTCTCTTTCTTTTACATTTTGTTTCTCATCAACATGCTCAGCCACAGACAGTTTATGATTACACTCATCACCAATGTCATTATTCTCTGTGAGTGGTTCAAGTTCTGCATCAAATGAGTCCTTTAGATTCTTCCATGCCACTTGTTGATTCTGCCCTTCCCTGAATTTAGGTGAGCAGCTAGCCTCTTGGGAAGGGATAACGAGATTACTTCCTTGTTTCTTCCAGATCTCTGATTTCAACTTCTCTATCTTAGCCATCCAAAAAGCATCTCTTGAAGCAACAATGTTATTCACCTCCTCTTCCAAAAGTTGTCTCACACCCTCCTTCACTTGCTCATCAACTGTTGTTTGTGTCTTTTGCTTCTTTGACCGCGAGAGATTGAAATACACAGCCTTCCTCACATGCATTCCTTGACCTCGAACTCTTCCACCGTGCTCGGGCTTCCCAAGAGCCTTGGTCAATACATCATCATCACCTTCTTCAGTAAGCACACCAGAACATACTTGTTCCCTTAAGAACTCCTGAAAATGAACCGGAATTCTATCAATTAAACAGGAGTGGTATAGAACTCAAAATTTTAACATTACACTAAAGCATCAAAGGAATAGCCATTGGATGAAAAACAACATGGCTGCTGGGAGTAGAGACAGACAACAACATTATGTGCAAGAACTTACTAATTTTCAGAAATTATTCAAAAACTTACAATTTCCTCTGCCTTCTGTTTTGTAGAGTCACTCTTGAAATTTCCTTCTTTGTCCTTTCTTGCAAGGACCCACGTAACAGATCGATCAATGACTGACTCATCTCCACTGTGTGTTTTTGCCTGCATGTTCATTTAGTGAGTAATGTATCATAGTCAAAATGTACATGTAGAAGAGGAATACTCCTAACACAGAACTCCGCATATATGAGTGAGTACTAACTCATTCCTGTTCCAGGTTTGCATAGCCTTTTCGGGACAAGCGATGAGGATATTTGTTTTCCTTAACTCTCTTCACATGCTCATCATGGACTTTCTGCAAAAAAGGACAGTTCATCAAAAAGGTAGTAAATTGAACAAGGAGTTCATTTCTAAAACTAAAAACCTTACATTTTTTACTACTCCCTCCATCCAGAAATATTCTTCCCATTTTCCTTTTTGGTCCGTCCGAAAATATTCTTCCCATTTCCTTTTTTAGTATACTTTTTAAAGATAAATTTCAATAATACCCTTCTATTTTGTCACTAATCTACTTTTAAGTACTTTTTTAAAAAGAAAAGAAGATATAAAAGTTTATAGTATGTGTATTTTTTAAAATTTTGCATTTTTTTACTATTCCTTAATAAGCGTGCCAAGTCAACACGGGAAGAATATTTCCGGACGGAGGGAGTATTTTTAAAAAAACGTGTCAAATCTACTACGTACATGTGAAAAAAATAATGGAGAACATTCTTTTTAATAATTTTAATATTTTTGCCAAAATATTGGCCAAAATCTACTACTCTGTACGTGGCAAAATTTTGGCAAAGAAGGGGCCAAAACTTTTAAAATTTTGGCCAAAATCTACTATGTGCCATGCATACTCCCTCTAAAATTTTGGTCAAAATATTTCAAAAAATTCATCCACTCTCCAAAATTAAGTTGGAAGCTCACCACGTACGTATCTTGTTCCTGTACCTCCCAAAACCCAAGAAGGCCTCCAAAAAATAACTTCACCTAATTCAATCAATTCATCCACTCTACTCTGAACTTCAATCTCTACCTCCGGTCGCCTCCTCACTCAACCTTCTCTTCTCCGATTGACTTCCCTCTGCTATACTGGAGCCATAACCTACCGTTTTTGCCGACAATGGAGCTGAAAACCCTAAAATTAGGTAAGTCGTAAACCTCAAATCTGGTATTCCCTCCAACAATAGTCACCATATTTGTTTTCCCAAAATTGTCGAATTCTCTAAGGCCTCTTCTTTGCATGCGTCTGCCTCGCTGCTCAGATCCCCCCAAAGAGGTCAGGGTTACATTTCTCAATCCATTGAATTCAAACTTCATTGGTTTGTTGTTATTCTTTTTAATTTACTATCTGTAAAGGCTTGCTTCCAGGATTGAAATCCTCACCATGTAGGTTACCAAAAAGGGTTCAACCAATTCCTTAATTCGTTGAATGTGACCTGAGAGCAGCAATAATGAACAATTTTTTTTCTAGAGTCAACTCAATACTCCTTCCATCCTTTTTTAAATATATTTTAAAAAATATTAATCTTAATACGTTTTTTTATCTCAATATTTTGGTACAGACCTTTGTTGTTTGTGAAATGCTTGACATCAAATTTATTTTACTATTTTAGTGTCCCTTATCACAATAACTATACTCCTGAAAATTCACCTAAAAAATGAATGTGATAACCCAACTACAAATTACAAATTGAGGCAGAACCCAATTTTTCATTATGCGCAACATTTTTTCGATATATACCACGTATAGACTGAAATGTTTGATCTTCACTCACTTTCAGAATATGGCGAGCACTCAACAGAATTCGCAGGCTGGACGTGCAATCCAAAAACCAATTTTCCGATCCTCTCCAAGGCACGAGAAACCTGAAGCTCTTTCAGACCGTAATGAATTGCAATGTCATAGTTCCCCAAAACCTGAGCTCTGAAAATCTCCCAGGCTTAAAAGAAAAGATCGGCTGAGCACTTTGACAGTGGTGCAGGCATTGAGTGGCTCAAGGTCAAAGAATGTGCAGAGCCATTCTACTCCCTTGCCCGTCACCCCAAAGCCAAAGCCTATATCTGACAATGTACAAAAACAGATCAAGCAGAAGAGAAAGCGGGAAGAAGTAGAAAGTGAAAGTGTCGCCAAGCCTTCTGGGGGTGGGTTGAAACTTTGAAAACGTGGATGTGTTTCAATGCACCGCGTTGTGAAACGTAAGATAAATGGACAGAAACCAACGGTTTTGTTTAATGATAAGGGACAACCGTATGATGTGGCTGCTGCAGAGATGCAATCTTACATTGGAGTTTTGGCCAGGACAAAAGCTCCAATATGGTTTGACACTTGGAGGCAAGTTCCGGTAACCATCAAGAACAAGATTTGGAAATCTGTCACGGTAAATATAACCATACTAACACTTGACTAGTCCTTACAAAATAAATAACTTGATCATTAATTATATACCTATGTTTTCCAACTGACTTAGACTAGTAAATTCCTCCCATGTTTATGCATATAGTTGGGGTTCGACCTACCCCCTTCTGCACGAAAACTTGTGCTGCAGTCGGCGAATTCGAAGTGGAAACAATTCAAGAGTACCCTGACATGTCGATATATTCTTCCCTTTCGAGATGAACCTGAGAAGCTGAGGACTCCAATAGAGGACTTCTCTTTATTGGAGAAGAATCATTGGGATATTTTTGTTACTGATCGTCTAAGCCCCGAGTTCTTGGTAAGACTACGTTTCCATTGTACTTTATTTAAAATACTACGTTTCCATTGCTGATCGTTATATGTAACAGTACATTTGATATTGTTAATTATTCCTGAACGAGTCAAGATTGAGTTAGGTTGTCGGTACATGTAGCAGTTGAAGAGTTTGGTTATCTTGGTAACATCCAAGACCGAAACCGGGTTATCGATATATGCAACAATATGTCTGATATTTGTAATTATCCTTGAACGAGTCAAGATTGAGTTGGGTTGTCAGTACATGTAACAGTTGAAGAGTTTGGTTATCTTGGTAACATCTCAGACAGACCGGGTTATCGTTATATGTAACAGTACGTTTGATATTGTTAATTATTGGTATATGTAACAGTATATGTACCAGAATTTGGTTACTTTTATATTGGGTAATAAGAATACTTTAATGGACTACGCTACACTTATACCAAATATTGTACCACATTTGTACACCTCAATTATACAAAAACATTTTGATAGTTTACATTGACACATATGTTGGTGCGTTAACAAAAATTTACACGAACACAAAGTGTTGATGTTTAAAAAAAAATATTTTTACACCAACTCAAAATGTTGGTGCAAATCTGCGGTGTACAAATGAGGTACAAAAACTTAGGATACAAATTAAATAACTTTATCCTACTTTAATAACAACATTCAATTTGGACATGATAACCACTCATCTACCTCCATCCACCACCTAATAAAATCAATGACTTTCATCATGAACTGAACAGACTAGAGCCACTCATCTCCCTTCCCCTCCTTATCCGATCTCGCCGCAGACTCCAGAAAAAACCCTTTCACTCGTCCCCCTTCCAGTCATCTCCCTTCCCCTCATTCTCTCCATTCCCATGGCCCTCTCATTCGAATTTGTTGTTGGCGGCCATGTATCTGAGAACAAAGTAATTTTCATTGAAAGCGACGACGATGGTGTGGACGATTCGAAGGAGACTGAAGTCATCTATTACCATGAAGAGGAAGATGTCATAATCATTGCTGGGACTGAGGAGACGCAGTTGATGCTAGACGACGGCCAGAGGTATGAGATACTCGCAATGGAGACTTCTCCGGGGATCTACAAACCTTGGGATCCGAAGACAGATGTGATGAAGTTCATGCAACCCACTTCATATGTGAACTCTTCGGTCTCAGAGATCAATTCCAAGTATGTAATTTCACATCCAATTCCTAAGATTATCGAATTTCATTTGTAATTTATGAAATTTCTACTTCATTGATACATGTGTGTTATACTTTAACCTACTGGGGATTACCGTATCAGTGTTCACTTCTAATTACCATATCTAATCTCTACTACACTAATGGGAATGTGTGATATTGTGATGATTATTTGTTGAAGTGCCTGATTTTTTGTACAATATACAATAAGCTTAAATGGCTTAAATGTCTTTTGAATGATCTCACCAAATTAACAAACATGACAACTATCTTAACCAGCAAGTCCATGGTGTCTCTCCTAAAAGTGCATTATAGTTTAACCCTGGCAATTCAATGTCACTATCTTAACCTACGAAAATAATTTCGGTGTGCCTGATAAATTGGTTAACGAGATGCTGGGATAATGTGTTATATGCATAGTATCAATTTGTTTAATTTCTTCTTACAAGTGTGTTACACTGCGTGATGATTAAATTCAAGAGCAACTCCTGACATAAATGTATTTTTGTTTCAATTCGTTTGTTGTCCAAGGAGTAATGTGGCCATGGCTGAAGGCAGCAGGAAGGACAAAAGGAAAAAGAAGACAGTGAGTGGTTGCTGCAGTACCCATAAAAAGAAGAAGAAGGTGTAAACCAATGAAGACTGCATTTCGTCGATATGGGATGTTTTTGTATGGTTTTTTATGGTGGAGGGGTGTTTGTAAATGCTGCACCATTCCAAATTACTTAAAATGGTGGAGGGGTGTTTGTAATGGGATGTTTTTGTATGGTTTTTTGGGTGGTCAATTAAAACCAAAACGTCAAGAATCTAGTATCGATGGAAAATCTTCGAGTTGTCGGGATGAAGTCTCATGATTGTCATACAATGTTTCATCACTTGCTCCCCATTGCAATACGATCGGTGTTACCAAAAGATGTGCGGTCCACTATTATTAGGTTTTGCCTCTTCTTCAAGGCAATTTGTAGTAAAGTCATTGAGGTCGATAAATTGGAAAAAATGCAATCCCAGTTGGTAGAGACTTTATGTTTGCTTGAAAAACATTTCCCTCCTGATTTCTTTGATATAATGGTCCATCTCTCAATTCATCTTGTGAGAGAAGTCGAGATTTGTGGGCCAGTTTGGCTACGTTGGATGTATCCTTTCGAACGAGAAATGAAGACATTTAAGGATATGTACGCAATCGTGCTTATCCTGAAGGTTCAATTGCCGAAGCATATATTGCAGAGGAGGCAATTGAGTGTTTAGTGAGTTCTGAAGATTGTACAGTAGGATTGCCAAAACGTTTCCAGGGTGCACAATCTAGACCCCTGTCTGGTGCGACGATGATCACACCGACCAATAATGACTTGCACCTAGCACATTTGTGTTTCCTCGAAAACTGTGATGATGTCCAACCATACTTTATGTAAGTATTTTTTTTAAATTTTTGACATTTAATTCGCTTTCATTCTTCTTTATAATATTATTAAAGAATAAAATTGTTTCAGTGAACATATGGGTGCTTTGGTGAAAACGTATCCACAACGTTCTAATGATGAGGAGTGGCTCAAGAACAAGCAAAACGAAACTTTCCCGGGCTGGTTTCGTAGAAAAGTAAGTACAATCTGTCATCATATATTATTTGTGCAGATTCTTGAATAAAATAGCAATATTTGAAGTTATTGTACTTGTGGTACTTCGTTTGGACAGATTTCAAAAGACTTGCTTGTGGAGAATAATACGGTATCAACGGAACTAATGTGGATTGCAGAAGGGCCTAACAAGGATGTACCCACTTTCAAACAATGCTCGTTGTTGGTAAGGAAAAAACATCCAGCATGGTACACACACATTTTACGGTGTTATCGTAGAAATTTGGGAGTTAGACTACAACCATTTTAGGGTTCCCATCTTTCGTTGTAAATGGGTAGATATGAATAGAGGGGTTAAGGTAGATGATTTGGGATACAATGTGGTTAATTTGAACAAATTAGATTTTCAGAATGACCCATTTGTGTTGGGGAAACACGTCATGCAAGTATGTTACATTGATGATCCTCTTGAGAAACTATGGTCAGTTGTCTTAAGATTACATGAGAAAAACTATATGGACATTGATGAAGATAGTGAGGGGTCTGTTGAATTAGAACTTGAGGAGGAGTTGGATGTGAGATTGTTCCCACCCAACCACGCAATAAATGAAGATAACAGTAATTACATGCGAGAAGAAGATGAATTGATTGTGTTGGCATAAGTTTTGTTAATCGTTAAGTGGGCCAATTTTTGTCTTTTGCTCTGCCAGAGAGTGTATTTTAGGTGGATGTTGGGTGCAGTTTTTTGTCATGATCTGCACTTCATGTCTCTTGGAGAGTCCTTGCCCTCCTGTACCTGTATTTCGCTGGTGCTGTGTGTTATGTCACTCTGTATTGCGTTGAAGACTTTTGATGTTTACGTTGGGCCATAGTTTTTTGCTTTCTGGGTGGAATCATACCGGCTGTTTTGGAATGGTAAGGGCCTTGTGCTTCAAGCAATTGATTTATACTTCCAGGTAAATTAATTTTGTGTTTTCCTACATTTTGGGGTTTATGGCTGCCCTTTGGGTTTTATTCTTTGTTTTATTATAGAAAATATTGTACTGTCAAGGTTTTGTTTGTGGGTTTTCATGATGTGCAGTTCATGTCGCTGCTAGCAGTGCTTGTCCTCCTGTATATTGATGTTGCTGTGTCTTAAGTTGTGTCCTCCTGATGGATATGTTGGGCCATAGTTTTTTTGCTTTTTGGGTATAACAATAATGCTGTTCACTTGGTGGCTTTTCCCAAGCTTTGTAGTGTCAAGTTTTGTTGGTGGGTTTTTCCATTTTGGTTTCTGCTCTAAGGTGTGTATGATTACTTTTAGAATGGATGATTGAAGGATGAAGCTGCTTCAAGGATATTAACGGAAGGCTTGAAGGATGAAGCTTGAGGGATATCCATGTTGGTGAGTCATTTCCTAACTTCAAGGATATGTACTATTTCTTGGATGCTTGTTGGTCATTGCCTTTATTTCAACTTACCACTATTAAAAAGAGCCAACTTTTTGCATCTCGCCAAAAAATTGCAGCACCAAAGCAGTTTCTTGAGCAAAAAAGTTGTTCTCTGGTTGTCGCACTCCATTCCTTAGTAAACCTTGGGTCATACATTCTATTTGCATCTCGCCATCTTCTAATTGTTTTTTGGTTTTATGATGTGAGATTGATGGATTGTATGGGTTCCCAATTCCCTTTGTGTGTAGCGGGACAGTACCCAGCCTGTCCATGTACAAATTATTTCGTTTGAATGGAAGTGTTTATTTTTTCATGTCCATATAATTCTTTAAAACAACGGTTGTTTGATTGTTTGGGCAGTAGTTTTTGAGTGACTGAGTTGAACTCTTGGGGGGGGGGGGTGAGTGGGTTTGAAGTGCTTCACTTGTTATGGTTTGGGGTGAGTTTTGAGTGTGTGTTGGAATTGTTTGCTGTGATGCTTTGGAAAGCCATAGTCTGGACAGGGGCATGAAGATAGGGGACGAGACAACTGCTGCAATTGGGCAAAATGGAGTGTTTCTCACTGTCTTGGTCATGCCTGGGCTGTTTTTTTGGAGCTGAAGGTTTGTTGGTTTCTTTACACTTTTCATGTTCTTCGTTACTATTCATTCTTTGCTGTTTTGTTGAGGACTCAAAAATGGAGATGGCCCAAAGGCCCCTGGTAGTGCTACTGCCATGCCAAATCAAGTAGCTCAAGCCACCACTTCAAGTCAGACAGCCAACACCAGTGTTATAGGTTTGAGTACAGTTGAGACTGAGTCAAGCTGGACCTACTGCTATGCCACTAGCAGCGGGTAATAAAGAAAAGAAGAAAAAGAAGGCTTTGAAAGGTGATGAATCTATTGTGGATGGTTATGGTGATGCTGCTATGCCAAAGCCAGGAGGCCAAGTTCCCATCCAATTCTCTTTGTGTGTTGTCCATGTAATTTTTCTTTTCTTTCAATGGACAATACCGTTTATTTTTTCATGTCCATATAATTGTTTGGAACAACTGTTATTTGATTGTTGTATAAATTTTGCCTGAAAATATGAATGTAAAGTTAGAGAGCATATACATTTTCATTGTAAAAAGGATTACCGTTTCTCCAAACTTTTAAAAAAGTTTTAGGCTTAAGAGCTAGACTACTATTTAAAAGAAGTATTCTTAACTTTTAAAATAGTTCTAGGCTTAATATGCACAATTCTCTTAAAAACAGATTTCTTTACTTATTATAGATAACTGTGAAAAAATAGTGTGACACATACTTGTAATACATTACTATTTCTTATAAGTTTAAAAACAGTTATACACTGGGAAACAAGACTTCTGTTAAGAAATAGTAGTCTTAACTAATTATTGACAACTGTGGCAATAAAAACTGTATTTTTTTACGAAACCGACTACTAATAATAGATGACCGTTTCTCACAACTTCAAAAACAGTTCTACCCATAATTCATATACTATTGTTCCAAAAGAGTCTTCTATTCCTATTATAAACAACAGTGGCAAAAAAACCATATGAAACAGACAACAAACATTAGATAACTGTTTCTAATAAATTTAAAAACAGTTCTAGAATAACAACCCAGACTATTGTTTCAAAAGAGTATTCTTAACTTGTTATTGACAACTGTTGTAAGAAAAACTGTATTTTGAACTGAGACAGACAACTAATGATACATTACCGTTTCTCGAAACTTGAAAAATAGTTTTAAAGCATAACAGCTAGACTACTGTTCTGTTCCCAAGAAAAACTTACTGTAGTCTGTTTTTTTTCAACTACTGTGTTTGCATACACAGTAGTCAATCAACAGTGGTCTAATGATGTTTTTGGCGTAGTGATGGTGTTTGTGACTGAGGAGGGAACTTCCGTCCATTGCACCGTTTCCTACCTGATTTGTCTATATGGCCCTCATTTTTACCCAAAAAGACAGACAACTTCCAGCCTTTCTCATTCTTCTTCGATAGAAAGGAAGATTCGCTTCCTCTTTTGGCTTCCTGTCAAGATTGGCTTTCTTTAAAGGTGTCAATGGTACGTGTTTGGATCAATTCTATTGATGGTTTATCAAATATCTGGGGTTTATCATATTTCTCTTGGATTTTACTTAACAATATGAATCTAGGGTTTTTTAATTTCAATTTAATTCTACTGAACATGAATGAAGGGTTTTGGTTATTAAAATTGATTTTGTTTTATCAACCTTGTATTGTTCTATCAAAGTCCTAATTGTTTTATAATTATTCTTATGAGTTTATAAATGTATATACTTAGCATATGTTGTGATATACTTTAGGCTCCAACGGGATTTAGGGTGTATGTGAAAGATAAATGCATTGTGATTGAAGATATTGATTGGGATATTTACTTCACCAAAGATTTGTTCGAGGATGTCATTTCCAAAGCTAAAGAACAGAATATAAGTCTTCCTAGGTTTGTTGGTTTTAGATATCATCCTCCCTGGAAAGAAATTCAGAAAGAGGCACTAGCTTCTGATAGAGATTGGATTAAGATGGTTGAGGTTTGGGGGGAGTTGCTTGTAATTACATTCCCTTATTTGTAGTTGAGTTACAAGAGCCCAGTGCATTGCAAAAAATGGCAGAGGAACTTCATGTTACTACCCAAAATTTTATGGAGCCTAGTAGTAGTGAAGTTGAGCATTGGGCTGACAATTTGCTTGTAACACCAACAAACTATACTCACACTTTTGAAAGTGAAGTTAATGGGGGTAATAAATCTAAATTAAATGTGAGAAGGCAAATGAGTAGGACATTTGAAGTGCTGCTCCAACCATCTGTTTTAGACCCTTAGGTTCCATCCATTACTAATTCCTCTCCACACCTCTCACCCACAAGTACAGAACCTGATAGAATGACTAGAGAGGAGGTTGAGAATGATGACACTCATAAAAAGAAGAAAAAGAAGCTTGTGGGGGGGGAGGTAGTAAAGTATTTGAGAGGACTGAGTTGAATGTCAAACTTTTGGCTAAAGAATTAAAAGGTTTAGAAGTTTATGACATTCCTACCTTGAGCAACCCCCAAGTTCCTCCCCATGTTCCTCCCCTAGACCTTTTTTTGAGGAGCCTGTGCTCCCTTCACAGGGGGTAATTGATGATGATAAAGGATCATCTGAAGATGAAGAAGAAGACTATGATTTTACAGGGAGTGAGGAGGAGTGTTTGAGTAGTGAGGCAGTTTCCTTGGATGAAGAGTCAGAAATGGAGGATGATTTTGATCTTGATGCTGACACTGCCCATAAAATGATGCTGGGTAATGAGGAAGAAAATTAAGATGGGAGTAGCAGTCAGTCTATTCTTGAGAAAATGGCTAAGGTGTTTTGGACTGGAAGGCTCTGGGTGAGAAGTACTCATGGAAAAGTTGAGCTAAAGCAAGGTGACATATTTAGTTACAAAGAGGATTTTCTTAGGGTCATGAAGGACTATGTTATTCAAAAGGGAATTTCTCTTAGGAAAATAAACAATGACAAGAGAAGATACACTCAAACATGTATGAATAAGGACTGCAAATTTAAGATTCATGCATCTGTTCTAGTTGATGGCCACTCTTGGATGATTAAAAGCATATGTGAGGATCATATTTGTTCAGTGAAAAAGCACCATAACAGGGCTGGAGCAGCTTGGGTTGCAACTCACCTTCTAGAACACTTTAGAAATAATAAACAGATGAGTGTGGTTACTGCCCAAAAAATTATTTTGAAGAAGTTCAGCACTCGCATACCTGATTATACTTGTTGGAGGGCTCTTAGGGTCATGAGGGGTATGGTTGAAGGTAGGCATGAAGATGGATACAAGATGTTACCACAATACATGGAGGTTTTTAAAGAAAAAAATCCAGATTCCCATGGCTTCATTAGGTGGCAGGAGATTGGTCCAGGGAAAACCCCATTTTTAAGAGGTGTCAAATCTGTATAGGTTCATCCATCATAGCTTTTAAGAAGTATTGTAGACCCTTGATTGGTATTGATGCATGTCATTTAAAGGGTCCATATGAGGGAGTGCTCTTGACTGCTATGGCCTTAGATGGAAGCAATGGTCAATTTCCCTTGGCATATGGTGTTGCTAATTGTGAAGATGAAACAGAGTGGTCTTTCTTCCCACATGGACTATTTGTGGCACTTGGCTGCACATCAGATGCATCCCCATACACAATAATATCTGACATGCATAAGGTAAATCTGAATTTCAAAGTTAGTCTTCTATTATTATGTTTTATTATTATTAAATCTGTGATATTTCTTTATGTATTATCTTACAGGAAATAATAAAAGGACTGAGGAATGCTTTTCCTAAAGCTAAAAGAAGGATTTGTGTGCTACACTTTTATAAGAACTTTGCTTCAAAGTTCTCAGGTACATGAGCCTTTCTTATTATATCTTTGTTCCAAGAGTACATCACCTAAATTTATAAACAATAATAAATGGCAGGTGCATGGTTCCATTCATTCTTCTACATTGTGGCAAATACTTTCTCAGAATATGTATTTAAAAAAGCAATGGAAAAAATAAAAGAGGAGGATGTTGAAGCCTATGACTGGCTCATGGACAATGAACCACATGAACATTGGGCCAGACACAAATTTGATCCTGCATTGAAGTGTGATGACAACACAAACAACTTTGTGGAGTCATTCAATAAGGCCATAATATCACACAGAGCCAAGCCAACCTTGCAAATGCTAGAGGAGATCAGGAAATTAATAGGGAATAGATTTGAAAAAAAGTTTGACTTAGGCAGGAGTTGGTGTACTACAATAACACCTTATGTAGACAATAAGTTAAGGGTGCTAGCAATGGAGTATAGGGTATGTTCTGAGGTTGTAGGAGCTGGTAGAGGTGAATGTGATGTAGTTGATGGGAACACCAACTTAACAGTGAGGCTGAGAGACCATCATTGTGACTGTAATAAGTGGCAAGTGTCAGGCCTTCCTTGTAAGCATGCAGTTAGATGCATTCTGAGGATGAATGAGAACCTTGAAAACTACTGTGAAGATTGGTTTTCAGTTGAGAAGTACAGAAGGCTTTATGATGGTATAATACATCCTATCCCAGATCCTTGTATGTGGGGTGAGAGCTCACTCCCTAAACTTGATCCTCCTAAGGCGTTTAAAAAGAAGGGGTAGCCAAAGAAGCACAAAAGAAGAGATGTAATTGATGATATAATTTCCAAAAAGAAGAGGATGCCTCATGGGACCAAGCACTGCAGTCAATGCAAGCAGTTGGGACACAATCATAGGACCTGTGGGCAAATGAGAGATGAAGGAGGGAGGTTGCTGAAGAAGAAACAAAACAAGAAGAAGAAATCAACAACAGAAGTGTAGTTTGCTAAAGAGGGAGGTTGCTGAAGAAGAAACAAAGCAAGTAGTTAGGACAACATATGTACTCTGTTTTGTTTTCTGTTGTAACATTGCTTTTAACATTTCTTTTTGTTTTTTGGCACTGCAATAGTAGTAACCTCTGGCACCTTGGTAATATATGTAGTAGTTTTTTGGCATTTTGGTATTAAACAAAACATGGCCTGTGTTGGTTTATGAACCTGCCAATAATGACCTGTGTTAGATGCAAATTATCTGTGTTGGTTTCAATGCCAGTTTCCAGGAATGTTTTTTTATGACTATATATATCTGGCAATGCATTTGTTTGGCTGATTCTGCTCTTAAAATGCCTTCGGGTTTGTTCGGGATGGTTCGAGTTCGGGATGGTTAGGGTTGGTACGGGATGGTTTGGGTCGGTTCCGGGTGGTACGGGTTGGTTCGGGATGGTTCGGGGTGGTTCGGGGTGGTTCGGGATGCTTCGGGATGGTTAGGGTTGGTACGGGATGGTTTATTGTCGGGATGGTTTGGGTCGGTTCGGGGTGGTACGGGATGGTTCGGGGTGGTTCGGGATGCTTCGGGATGGTTAGGGTTGGTACGGGATGGTTTGTTATCGGGATGATTCGGGAAATATCGGGACCGGTATTCTCGGTACATTTAACTACATGTATTGTTATTAAAAAACATCTTCTCCACATTGATCATGAGTTCCAAAAACATCACATGAAATACACCAATTCAACAAACACTACATCAAAATACAAACCCGTTTACATAAATCATACAAACACTAGTTCAAGGATTCAAGCAACATCAAATTACATAAACAATACAAATATTGCCATGTTGATGACCAATGCAGCACAAAACCCAAACATAAAGGCTCCAATTTTCTTCTCTTTGATACGCTTGTTTAGAAGCTTTATCTCTTCATCTTTTGCACTGCTCTTCTTTAGAAGTCCGAGAATGAGCTTCTTAGCTCGGTCGCATATTGGAGGATCGAGCCATTCCCAAGAACAACATTTTCGAGTACCCTGTTCAACATCAACCTACTTTAGCAAAAAACAACTGAATATCGCTAAAAAAACCTAAATATATGTCTTACATTTCCATCACACTTCCACATTCTTCTTCCGGGATTCTTATCAGTCCAAGATGTAAGAACACTCATGTCTTTCCCACCACTTACAGGTAGGTACCTTCAACCATTCACCATACTCACAAATTCTTCTTGATGAATTGAAAGAGTGGCTAGTAAAAAAATCAAAAAACAGAGCGTATAGTTATAAATGAACTATGTAGAGTAATTCACAATAATAATATTTGCTTTAATACATCGAATCCATTACTGACCGAAGATCAGATTCAAGATCATATTCAAGCACGAGATTCAAATGTAGAATAAACCTGCGCCCAAATACAATAAACCCCAAACTCATGATATTCAATTACAATCACGAGAGCTTAGCGAAATTCAGGTAATACCTGAAGAAGCACAGATGAAGCTTCGACTCTCTCCTTCGAAGCAAAGCCGTAAACTTCAAACCCTAGTGTTTCAGCTTTTCTAACATTAAAGAGGAAAGAGTGAGGGTTATATTAGGCATTTCACAACCTTTTTTTAATTAAAATAACCGGAGTTAAGGTAGGAAACAGTGCAATGGACGGAAGTTCCCTCCTCAGTCACAAACACCATATTTTAAATCCCCAAGAGTAAGTTTTAGAAAAAATGGGACCTGCGAGTCTTTATGCCAAAATAGGGGGTACCTGACGGCAATTTTTTGTTCTAATTATTATTCTCTATATTTACTACTATTTGAACCTTTGTCATAGAAGGGGTGAAACAAATCTTTTTTTATTTTATCTTTTCTTCGCTGCATCATTCTTCAAATATCGAACAAAATAAAACATCAATCATAAAATGAAATCTACAATATACATTTGAAATTTAAATGTCAAAGTTTCTTTTAAATTTAAACATTTTAGAAAATTTTGAAGGGTACAATAGGTTTTTGTGATTTATAAACATTATCAAATAAATTTAAAACTAATACTTTAAACCTTACTTTTACTCTTGCAAAATAATAATAGACAATTAATCATTATCGAATACCAATTTGGTAAAAAATAATATTATAAATGATAATGTTTAGCCTTAACTTTGATTATAATCATGACGAAACAGAAACTATTAAAAATTATATTTTTATACCTTCAAGAGTAATTTTGTATGAAATGATACATAATTCATTTAATTATGGCTATGTAAACGTTTCTATGACTTTGTTTCATAATACAATAATTGTGTGCCGAAGATAAAATTTCACAACTCTTTAATGAATAACCTTGTACTATTGCACAATTCAGATGGTTGATCATTTTTCATCAATAACATAATGCATATAACTTTCTTCAAATTAAAATTATGTTGTGGTTTAAGATTCACAAACATCTGTTTACATTCATAAGCTCAACTGTTATACAATTATCATTGATGGAAAAATATATTAATTATCGAAAAAATGGATTCATCTTCTATCATTAATATGATTCTCTTCTCTCATATTGATTTTTTTTTAAATTTAATTATTCTTTCCCGAATTAATTTTAAAAACCAAAAATTTGTGATCTTATGATTATCAAATCTTCTTTGCATTAATTAAACAATTGAATTACCAAATAACAACTTTATGATTCAAAGAATATGCTTCTACCATCACACATCGCTACATTATTTTAGAATAGAAAAATAAATAATATATTATTATTCATCTCTCATGCATTAATATGATTCTGCCCCTCGCATTGATTAAAGAATAGAGAAATTTACCTAAATAAAACTAAAACATAATGAATTTCCCAATATATGACCATATGTTTTTATTTCTCAATGTAGGACTTTTGGTCATTATCAAGTAGTCATTATTCAAGTAAATGTCTAACATTACAAGACATTATTTCTCTCACTGGGTCATTATTAAGTCTTATTTAACGAATAAAAAAGTTTAAGTCCTACATTAGGAAAGTCATTATGTTTTAGTCCTATTTAGTGCAAATTTCACTAAACAATATGATTCTTTTCTCCCCACATGATTCAAAAATAAAAGCTTGGATTAGCACTACTATAAATAATAAAAAATTAAAAAACATTATAAATCCAATGATTTTACTCCCCACATTAAGTCAAAAAAATTAATATAAAAACAATAGTGATCCGATGATTTGAGTATAAATTTAAAAAAAAACCTGATAGCTTTTTTTGAATTTTTTTGTTTGAGTACAAAACCATTCAAGCGAGTGAAAACATTTTTTTCTTAATTTATTTTATTTAAATATTTTCCCACTTAAATATTTATTACTTGAAAGCTTTTTTGGAGGAAATGAAAGTTTTATTATAAATGAAGATAGTAAAAATTATTAAATTAGGAAAGAATTTATTGTAAATATATATATATATCTCTTCCAAAATTAAATTTATTCATAAATTAAGATTTCATACCAAAATATGGATTATACATTTTCTATGTATAAAAATAGGTAGCATATCAGTTCTCAAAAAATATAAAATTTCATGATAGGTGAAGAAAGTATTTTATTTAATAGATGACAATATTTAAGTAAATATAAACAAACTAACTTCATTTAAGTGTATCATAAATAAATACAAAGTATAAAGTTTATTTATGAATGAAGAGATCATTTTATTTATTATTTAAAAGAGTTTCAATTTCAGTCTAGGCATATATTGGTTTTTTATTTTTTGGAATGTAGTTATTGAAATGTATTGTTTGGTTTTAATATTACATTATTATTAAAATAAATAGAATCAAAACTAATTTAATTTTAACATATTATAAACTAATACACATATAAAAGTTAATTAGATGTAAAAAAAATCATCTTATTTGTTAATTAAATATTTTTTATAAATGAAGAGAGTAAAATATGCTGGATTGAATTGGAAAGAATATCATCGTCAAAATAAATGTTTCTCTTCCACAATTAAATTTATTCAAAAATTTTATACCAAAACATTGAATTCATGCTTTATATATCTTAAAGTTTGCGACATATTAGGTGTCAAAACAAATATACGGAGTAAAATGTATTTATTGGTGAAGAGAATATTTTATTTAATAGCTGTCGATATCTAAATAAATACAATCAAACGAATATCATGTAAACATATAATGAACAAATATAGAATTTATTTACAGGTGAGGAGTGTATTCTATTTATTATTTAAAAAAATTCATAAATTTTATTATTTAAAAAAATTCATAAATTTTAAAAATATTTTTACGTATAGTTGTGAAAAAATTAATATTTTATTAAAAATAATAAGTTATAGGGAAAACAATTTTAATTCTAAATTTGGATTCATGAGTTCAAAATATGTATTTATCGTTTTTGTAAAAAGAGTTAAAACGGTGAAATAATTTAAGTGATTAAATTTGGTTAAATTGCTACCTAATATGGCACATGTCAAATTCTTAATGGGTAAAGAAGCAATATAAGAGTAAAACATTGATAAAATTACAAAATAAGAGTTGAAAGATAAAACCCTCAAAATAGGAATTATTGACTCACCCAAAATGAAAACTGGATTTTACCCAGTGAAGCATAAAATCCTAAATAAGTTGAAAAAGATGATAGCCTTAGTTAACCTTTAATGCTGACTCTCTTCGCAATCCAGTAGCAACATAATGCAGTTTGGGTTTTTCATTAGCTATAGTCAATTGACCTTTTGCACCTCTTGGGATAAAAATTGTGAGTGCAACTGCCCTCTGCCTATTAAGTAAAGATTATTAACTAGTATGCCCTCTGAATTATAATAT